GAGCTAGTAAGCTGCGAATACTAATCACTACTGCAATATAATACATGTGAGCACTAGTTAGCAGACTAGTAGGATAATCGGTTAGCATAAGTATAAACCAGTCGATAAAGTTAAAGTATGAAAATTAATAACGGGCTGTGTTGGTTTGGTCAGTCTCACTAATGCAGAATTGTAGTCTGTTTCTGTATTAGTATGAGGGCTCTTCTGGGATCTAAAATATAAATGGCCTTCCTCAGCGAGTATCATCCGAATCATTACTTTTCGTTGTCGATGCAGAACTTTAAAGAAAATTTTGTAACCGAGATGTTGAGCTGGCGTATAAGGAGGATCTAACTCGATTTGAAAGTTGGGTGGATAACAGTAGACTTTCTTTCAACGCTTCAAAGCGTAAAGTAGCCCTTCTGAGATATGTCGTATACTACGCATACGACCTAGGTAACTCTCCCTTATAGGTATCTCAAGTCCTCAAAGATCTGGGAATAATGGTAGTATGTGATCTTAATGATCACGATAACCGTAGCCAAGGTGCTTTTCGGGCGAACCCTGCGCTAGAAATGTTGAGGAGGATTGCTTACCAGTTTGACTGCAGAACTTAACACTTAATCTCCAGCGGTTTTATTCGATCCCATTTGGAGTATGGAAATACAACTTTTCTTCACTCACTCCAAAAGGATAAGAACACATTAGAATGTGTTCAAGGGCGAGGCATCAAATCTGTTCGGGGACTCAAACTCACACCTGATGTAGAACGCCACAAATCACTGAATCTTTACCCGCTAGATGATGGGCGTCTGTGAGGTGACCTAATGACTTATAGGATCATAAGCTCTCATGGAATCCACTAAAGCATCTAGATCAGCCCAGTTCAAACACAAACTTTAAGGACAACATTCAGAATTTAGAAACAAAACATAGCAGGATGGACTGTATGTGCATATACTCTTGATGATTAGTCAAATTCTGGAAATCGCTGCCTGTTGAGGTGGCCCAGGAGACTCATTTGAAAGGGAAACTTGACATATTTTTGGGAAGCCAGGACAGCATTTCACTATAGTTTACTGGTTGGTTTCTTTATACCGTCAAATAGACTTATGTTCACACCTGGAGACATCAGTAATACTCTGCCACTAGATATAGGAGCTCATTAAGCAAATGGCTCTTGATATCCTCCTAAGACCATTTGAACCATTTGTACTATTTAAATCATATAGCGAAATAAAATGATTATTTTGTCCTCTGATGAGTAGACATTTTACTTGTTTATCAGTAATCTCTAGGCATCCTTTAAAAGGTTATATTTTCCTGTCATATTCAAAATATTTTGCGCTAGTCGGGATGGCCTGTATACGAAGTCTCCCTACTCTGTCTTTTTCAGTGGATATTAACTTTAAGTCCTTGGAAGATGTTGGAATTTATGTTGAAACTTCCGTAGCTGAATATAAACGCAAGATAGTGGTTGGAGTTACGGGATCGTTGGCTGTCCTTGGACTGTGGAATCCTGAAAAAGCTTTGTTTTGCGATCGTCAGTCTGAAAATACTAATAAGTATTTATATAAATCATATACAACGTGTCTGTTTTAGTACTGAAACATGGCACTGTTGTCTTACACTTCAATCACTGTCTGCGTTCCGATACCGTTTCTTCTTGGCAGAATTATTTGAAAATATGGGTGAAAATGCCGTCTCACTAAATCTAAAGATTTTAGCATGGGAGTCCCGGCTAAAGCCTAGGGAATTTACTCCGACAGGTAATAATTTTCACTTAGTCTCAGCTTTAGATAACTTAAATACAGACAAAGATACAGAGATTCATACGGAATTCGGTGTTTTTGGTAAGTTTTACAAAACTATCAGTTATTCCCTAAAGAAAATGGAAACTTCGTTCAGCGTGGTTGGTTGATGTCAAACTCTGAGATTCATATTCGCATGTCAAGTACTTCCTGCAAATTCTTCAAAAACGACGTTTTCACTCCTCACACTCAGCTATTTGTTGCATGCTCTAGATATGTATTGCAACCCATGTCTATCGATGATGAAGATAATGAAACGCGTAAGCTTTTAAATTATCTCGCTAGGTTTTAATTATGTAGGCTGACATAAGTCTTGTTAACTTTCATGAGCGGTGTTAGTGTTCTGGTTTTCGTTGAAAACATTTGCCGATGTAGCTGATACCTCTTCCATCATGATGTTCTACTCTTAAAGAATGAACGATAAAGATGGAATGCCACTTTAATCCTTTTCCATCTTGGTTTCCGAGGTCTTTTATCGCCACGGAAATAAGCCTGAGTGAAGAAAATGATGAGATATGTTCGATAGTTCTTATCACTTTAAAGTCTATGTAGTCACTAGATAACGTGACCGTATATCCTGTTGCTAATTGTTTCACTTTTTAGTGTTATTCAAATAATTACTGTGAAGTGTTCTAATTCATATTCATATGTCTTATGAGTTTTGTGACTTTTCAAACTTGACTATAGTAATTTCACATATAGTTCGATTTATACTTTTCTAACCACTGTCATGTTCGTTTGTCTTGGCTAGAAAAAACCCCTCTTCAAATCAGTATCCCTTGAGGTTAAATTTATTCTGAAATAACAGGTTTTCGATATCCACCCTTTTACTTTTCTCTGACAATAGCTACCCTTTCTTTCTCACATTTTGATTTGCTATCAGTGTGGCTCCTACTAGTTAACAAAACCGCCCTTTAGATAACGAGGGCTCTGAAGTCTCAAACAGCTGCTTAGAATTCTAAAAAAATTCTAGGAAATCATAAAAGTTAAACTACATGTTTAAAAAACTTAGAAAACTTCAAAAATACCCGAATACTTTACAATGTCCCAAAGATGACAATGCTGTATGTGACAAACAAAAGTATTAAAAACCGAATTTATTAGATGAATATTTGAGAAAAAGTTTTTCGATTTAATAAAAAACTAAACAAAATTACTTAAGAAATGACCATCTTTCTCAAAAGCACACGCATTACGTTTCCACTATAATAACCAGGTGTTCTTCTATCGCTTCTCTTGTTGTATGTTATTTTTACTACGAAGCTTGTAATTCTATTTCCTATTTCTCCTACCAAATATTTTGTTCACTCACTTAATTATCGCTCTATATCAACTATTTCATTGAATTAAACAGGATAAAACTATTTTCTCATTACCTATAATCCTTCCCTTCAGCTTAATCAAATCAGTGTCCCAGACTTCAGTCTTCAGTAATAAGGATAGGAGGTCTATCGACCTATATTAATCCTTGCAGTTTGTAAAACTGTGGAGGTCAAACCTCCTTTTGAATATGTCAACAGAAGGTGCTGATAGTACGTGTTCCGGTATAGAATTCCAATAATTCACTACTCGGTGCGAGAAACGAAACTCCAGACGTAAACGATTTTATCTCGGTTTTTGAACTTTCTTAGAATGTCCTCTCAAATGATCTGTCCTAGACGGGATTAAAAGATAAGACATGTTTATACCAAGGTCATCGTTCAGTATACGATAATCCAATATTAGATCACCCCGTATTCTACGGTAAGATAACGGAAATAAGTTAAGGTGTCTCAGTCTGTCTTCATAAGATAGACCAGATGGACCTTGTAACCTCTTGGTACCTCGTCTTTGGACTCTTTCCAGCATATCTGCTTCATACTTGAAACAAGGACTCGCTGCTTGAATCCCATATTCTAAATGTGGTCGCACATAAATCGGGTATAATAATCTAAATAGAGCAAGAACAAACATTGATGCAGAATAGTATAAATTTATAATATTTCGAGGTTTCTCGTCAGCTGCTTACAACCTCGAAATATTATGAATTCATACTATTCTGCATCAATGCTTGTTCTTGCTCTATTTAAATTCATAAAGGGAACCACTTGCATGAAATTTATAATAATCTAAATATTTCGCCATCTAAATACTGGAAAAACCTACGAATAAACCATTATACCCTATAGCCTTTCGCAGCAGCAGCCTTACAGTGACTAGTGGTTTTGAGATCATTGCTTAATATGACTCCTAAATCTTTATAGTTTATTACTTTGGATAGCACAAATCCACCTATTGTGTAGTGATACGATCCATCGTAGTTATTTATTTGCATCACTACACTCTTATTAGGAGTTACTTCTAGTGACCACCTGTCCAACCATGCCACCAATGAGCTAAGACTATTCTGTAATACTATCCTATCTGACATACTGTGTATGGGTCTCCAAATTTTTATGTCATCAGCAAAGAGTAGAACGGATGATTTTGCTACAGTTGGTAATTCATTTACATAATTTTGAAATATCTCATGGTGATTTTGGTTTTACTACCATCTATAAAATTCTAATAGATGTACCCTTGATATTGGTTTTAAAGTTGAACTTATCGTTATCTCATGGATCCATTTTATTAACGTCACAATCTCTGCAGCATTTAGTGATTCCCAAGTGTTGGATAACAATTACAACAAGAGCTTTATTTTATAGCTACTTATATATCTCTACTAGAAATGTGTCAGATGATCGGAGTTTCTTCCAGATGTTATGTAAAATATATTATTCTTGCTAAATATCAAGTAAAATAGTATTCCATAATTTATTAATTCATCTAGTAGATTGATATCAAAAAGCGTGTGAACCCCATTGGGGATATCCACATACCCATTATTCTAAATCCCATGTATTTCATTTTATCCACAATAGGTGTAACGCCAAATAAGCCTGAATGCTCACAAAAGGAAGATACCTTGATCTGCCAAACTGGTTCTTCAACTCGTAAACTTTCATGTCTACAGTACCCGTCTTCAAGTAGAACATCATACTCTAGTGTTGTTAGTCGATCCTATCCAGTTCCAATGTCCACTTTGGAAATCAATCGCTGCCGTATTCATAGAGGTGAACAACCAGAATGTTGTGGTACACTTTATAAACTTGGAGATGATGTAACTTTCTTCATTGAAACGTCAGATGTGGAGAACACTTCAGTAGAAATACAATTCTATCAACAACATTTAGAGTCCTCAGGGAATGATAGTGAGTTCTCTTTATTATTCAACTGAGATTGGGTGCGATGACTATTTTTGGTACTGCTTTGTTTTTCTTTAGATCGAAACGTAATCAGACGTCAAACCGATGGTTTTAAGTATTGTGTGTCAAGCAGTATTTTTATGAATGTTAGCCTGTCAAAAGTTTCACACTAAAGCTTCAATACAATCCTACAAGGTATCGAACCCAGTTTCGTCAGGCCTGCTACCCACTGCTATGAAAACAGTTATTTCATGTTTTCAACTTTACTGTTATTGCTTGGTTGTAATGAGTTTCACTGGTGTGATGGCTGTCCCACTCTCGGTCTCGTTGATTTCGTTTAAATCTCTTCAGGGTAGGTTACTCTGAAAAAACGGATACCAGATCAAGTGAATTTCTATTGATATTTTTGTTCTGAAATCAATTTTTCCCGATTGTTTTTTATGTTGTTTCACGTAGAAATCTTAGTACTAACTTTCAACATAAAACCCAAGACTTAAAATGTCCATTACTGATATGATTATAGTATATTGGAACGAACGTATGATTGAACACCATTGATCACTGGGATTTATTTCAACAGTTTCAAGATTTGAATTTCATTCATATAAAAAAGTCATATGCATGCCGTTTTCTAAACTCTAGAGCATCTTAATAGCTCGATAAACTTAAAATTTTACAAACACTAATAGTGTTTTTACCAATTCAGCACATAAATTTGAGTATGGTTAAATAAGCCAATGTAGTGTTTTTTATGTTTGTCATTTTATTTTGGGAATTGCAACTTTTTAATAACAAATAAAGTAAATATGAAACTTTAGCCAACTACTTTGTAATAATATACTTTCGAATCGGATTTAATAAGTCTACATGAACCTGGTCACTTTTTTGTAAAAGTTTTAGTGCATTTGAAATAATTTAATGCAGCTTAGTTATACTGTACGAGTTGTTATCTCGAACTCATTGTCTGAACATCCAGATTAAAATAGGTAGAAAACTATAAATTGCTAACCTAAGTTTATTTACTTGACTTACCATGTAACAGTCTTATCGTCTTATCTTTGTGTGACCCTATCTTTTATTACTATTCTTCAGCAACACAGTGCGATTTTAAATCTATTCGAGATAATAAATGGGTTGTGCCCAACAATGGGACCCATGACGCGCGGTTCGTCCTATGTGGGATTCACCAGCTGGACGGACCTACGTTCCAGTGTTGATGTTTAAATCGGGACTCGAAACCAGCGATTGTAGGCTCAGACACCCAACACATTATCTACTTAGCTACTGAGTCCACATAGTCAGTCACTTTTTCGTCGGGTGTGACATTTTCATCGTTTAGCGAAGAATATAAACAGTTTGATAATTAAACCTCACTCTAATAATGCTATTCAAGGTACCTTTCAAAAAATTCCGAAATCGGTGAGCTTTTTCAAAGCTGCTCGATAGCACACCTGTATAGAACTTTTCCGAATGTTCCACATGTTTGTATGTGTTGGTCAAATAGCTACACGGTGCGATCATAAGTGTGGATAGGTCAGTAAACTCAAGAACACTTCATATGCAATTGTGTTTGATTTTAAAACATTCTAATTAGCATTCGAGAGCTCTTTTGTTTTCTAATTTCTGTATAACACAATGAAAGAAAATCTTTAAAGAATCGTAAACAATCAAAAGTTTGGATTCTTCTTGTCTGCAGTTGTTAAACTTAAAAAAATTAGCGGTATGGTACAAAAACTCTGAAGCAATCTTTTTTAATCGGCTGGTTTTTTAATAATAATGAAATCAAGAGGTCACCCTTCATGAAATCCTAATAATCGCAGATGTTTTACGGAAACCCAACTGTTTTACGTAAGGTTGTGCGAATTAATTTAGAATAACAAAAAAGGATTTACATTTTGGAATAACAGACAAAGTAAGAGTTATCAAATAACATAAAATGTATTTTCTATGCCATTTGCTCCCCCCATCAATATAGCTTATCTGAATTCTGATAACTTAGTGACGTCTTATAAGTATGTAGTTTTTCTTGAAAATCCCCTGAAGTGGCCTATAGCGCACTCATAGCGAACATTTACAATGCGGTGATGTTTACTAATTAATAGCAATCAATAAAGGTTCAGATCTCAAAGAATAAAAGTCTCCTAACGACCATATATGCTTCTTGCTCATTATTATTAAAACAAAAATGAGGTCTGAATGTAAAACTTCCTCACAATTATATCTAGACATCTAACAATAATAGGAAACTGTTATATACATTGAATAAATCTCATTCATAATGATCCTTCCTTAAAACAATCATCTTTTCAGTTTTCTAAAATAATGACTTTCAGAAGTTTCACAAACCGGCTATCCGTTGTATAAAAGACAATACATAAATATTGTATATGGACAAACTTCACTATTCCAAATTCACTTATTCCAAAGTTTTACTCGACATCCTGATTCTAACTCTTCTAGAGATTGAAATTTCGGATGAAATATTTAAATTACTTAGTTACAACCGATGGTATTCTTTTCGGTATAGTGTGTATCAATTCCAATGATTCTCATTCAAAAAAATATATGTAAGTCACCCGCGCAAGTATTTCCTTACAACGGGCTAAGGTTTCACATTAGTTGCATATATTTTTGGAATTATTTCAAGATGAAAGTGAATCCGGGGAATCTCTATGTCAATGATAACGATGATAAAGGAATACATAACAACTAATCATGATTAGTTAAAAGTATTCGCTCGTCCAAACGTTTCTATGAGTAGTGGTACATTGACTGCATTGTGTGATTAACTGGCCAACAAATTGGCGAACTCCTCTTCGTGATTTGGAAAGTATCAGACAGAATTAGAACTTAGCTCTATCCTTCCACACTTCGTCCATAGTAGCTATATAGTAGATCGATCCAAACCATTCAAAGTAATTTGTCAAATAAGTTCAAACCTTCTGAATAGGGTTCGTTCTCGCCTGTCTTATACATAATTGAAGTCCCAACGAATTAAGATAACAACCTTGGTTTTTTTTTTCAAATAATGTTTGTAGTACTTCTGCTTCTACCTTGATCAGAAAAACCTATCAGAGAATATCAACATTTATTAACCGACGACTATCTGAACTCATTAGTTAAGTAAATAACGCGTTGAATGTTTGAACCAAAAGGTACTGGGCTTGAGCCCGACATGAACATCAACGCTGGGAAGCAGATATACTCAGCTGACGAGTCCCAAATAAAACGAACCGCGCGTCCTGAATTCCACTGCTAGCCACTATCCCACTCTGCTATAAGTGCCTGTGATTTAATGTCATTATTGAGGCTGTCTGCGCTGAATTCACGTATGGCAAAAGGGACTGATCAATTACAGTCCTTAGCATCAACAACGGGGAGATTCAAATAAATTCTTGCAAATTAATTACTTCTTTGTGTTTCTTTTTTCCTTTTCAGTCTTTATAAACGGGCTATCCACACATTTCCTATTATGCCATTTTTTATTGATTATTAGTTAAATTAACGATTCTATCTAAGCTAGATCACCATTTAGAACCTTCAAGCACTGGATGGTCGTTTCGTCTCAGTATGGGATTCCCCAGCAGTGCGCACTCACATCCCCTCATACGGGATTCGAACCCAGGACTTTCGGTCTCACATGCGAACAGTTAACCTCTAGACCACTGAGCCATAAATTCAACTATAAAAATTGCTACAATCTCTACAGACCACCATTCTAATTACTGTTTTGTCAACTTTATTCACCTAAGTTTTCACATGTTTCCTATTTTGAAATATTTATTCAAGCAGTTATTACTAATTATCATTATTGCTACAACTATCACCCGTGTTACTATCGATATGTACTTTTTACTGACTACGGTCAGTAACGTAAACTATTTCACTGTCATGATTGACCCGTAAATTGTTTTGATTGATTTAATATTTTAAATATTTCCGTTTAAATATTACGGCATACTAAAATAAATCCTAATAAAGATCTAATGGAATGTAACAATTTGGTGATGGACCAAACCATCCAGCTTAGAGAACACAACTTGATCAAAATCATCCACTTGAGCTTGAAATCTCCACCATCTCAGAAAGTTATATTGTTCACTTATATGTGTAGTTCAAATTTATACTATGAGAATCTGCAGTATTTTGGGACGTAAACAAGTTAGTTGAAAAAAATGTTCGTTTTTTCTCTCATTTTCTTATTCGAATCACAACTTTCATTTGTAATTTGCTCTTATTATGTTCAGCTAAAATTAGTTCATCTACTCCATTAAAATTTATTGGTTCTGCTCGTTTTGGTCCATTCGTTGATACGTACGGACGTAAAGCTGCACAAATTCTGAATTCATCATTAGCTCCAGTGGGAGATCTTCGAGGTAAATAAAATTGTATCATTTTTCTCAATTTGAGGTTTTAGTTTCGATCACTCATTGACATATTAGGTGATGAAATATTGAGGATCAGACAGTACTGCATATCTGTTTAGTCTTATTTTCTGACTTCTCAAGAGTGTATGTTTAACACTATTACATGAGTCGAGCCTAGGACAGTAAGGTTTTGTAAAGGCTACCTTGACGCGGTGGTCCGGCTTGCCTATCGTGATGACCTAACCGAGCTATATTGGCTGGAGCATATATTCCTGTAGGTTCTACCATGCCCGGCAGGTCGGTTGGAGAACGGTAAGACTAAAAGCAGCAACTCAAGGTCTGAGGGCGAAGTCGTACTGCTGACTGTAGAGGGCTGTGACAGCAGTAAGGTGTTTCCCTCGGACAACCAGCATCTGCAGTAATGTTGCCTTCTCACAAGGAAGAAAGGGGTTAGAAAAGGTCGACCCTAAAATGTCACACCTCACCTTACCTCACGGATTTCCGTCTCCAGCAGTAAGGCCCTTTGAAGAACGGAGTCAACACGTGAAAAACTTCCCACAAAACGGTCGTGCGTGACCGGCTTCAAGTAGTTGTCCTTTCGGCTCTGTGGTCACACTCCCAATTCGTTAAGACCAACACTAATCCAACTTCCTTTTCAGGTTCCTCAAGAAATACCCTTCGACGGTGTGGGCAGCCGGGAAGTGACATCAGCCCTCATACCCGTAAGAACACACGAGACCAAGTTGGTCACAATCAAATCCTCTCTACACCTTCCAATACCTCTTTTACCCCCACGACTAACACTTCTCACGTTCCTTTATCACCTCCCGCCGCTAATGCGAGCGATTCGAGTACGCGGAACATTATTCCCGGTTTCCACGCTCTAAGTACATTGAGCTTGTAAAGGCTCTCTACTCGAACACAACTGGTAGAGTGAGAGGTTATGGCGAACTGTCATCAGAATTGATTACCTCAAGTAGTGATCGTCAGGGCTGTCCACTCTCTCCATTCTTGTTTAACTTTGTCATTGACGTGTTTTTAGAGATAACACTTCACACGGGATTCGAACACATGACCTTCGGTCTTACGCGTGAATGCTTAATCTCATTATAAAATAATTATACTTCCAGTGTGATAATATACTACTCATGATCTTTAAACTGAAATTAATTTATATCATTTTAGTTAATTGGGTAATGCGACAACAGTAAGATTTGGCAAATAACATGGATTTACCAAATTTCAAAATTCCTCATTTATAAAAGCCCTTAATTTATGTTAGTAATATAATTATAAAAAGTTTTACATACAGCATTATTAGTCTAATTTAAACAACGTTGGATACTGGCTGATAGGCTATGTGTTCGAATCTCGCGAGGCGGGGTCGTGGATACCAACTGCTGAAGAGTCTCACAATAAGACGAAACGGCCGTCCAGTGGCTTCTAGGTCTTTCATTGTGGTCTAGCTTCAATTGACTCACGATCTCAACTATTGAAAATACAGCAATTAATAAAGTTAATCTTGAAACCACTTAAGAAACAAGAGGAAACTGTTATATCCGATCTAAGATTAAATCACGAGTAACTTCTGACACATATTAATTGACTAATATTATCTATACATTCTTATGGTATAACTATCCAATAATTAGATTATGTATATTTATATTCCTCTTATTATAAGCTTTATTTTAACCTATAATTTATTATTGTACGATCTACTGTTCTTAAACTATGTTCAGTTTATTAACTACTGCCTCTCACGTTCACAGTCACTTTTTGGCTTTATTGTGTACAAATGTTATTTCCTTTTCTATGGTGCGTTGCGATCTGTTTGGTTGATATATAAACCCAGTATGTCTGAAATAAATGATTCGATTCGATTCGCATAGTGGGAGCTGGTATTTGGTGTTCTGGACTCAAGTGAACGGGCTAGGCGGACATAGGACCAATAAGGACGCTAGGCTGTTCATACCGGTCGAACATCATTGGTTTGACACAGTGCTAAGATTGTACAAGTCGTATTTTGATTGATGGATAAATCACGTGATAAAAGCCGGACATAAACTCACAACAGAAACAATATATTTAACCTAATAGTTAAAATTGATTAGTATTTCATACGTTCAAGAGGATATCACAGAAAAGACAAACAGACGGGGGACGTGTGAAGTTATTAATGATTATAATGAGACAAGTTACCAAATGATTGGTAATTAAGACCTATTTAATATGAAATTAAAGTTAACATCGGTAGTGAATGTAAATGGGATGAAAGAGATAAAGTAACTGACAAGCATTGGAATAATATACCTATTTTACCATAACAATGATAGATTTACTTTAATTTTTTTTTGTATCCAAAGTTCAAGTCAAAAGCGCTTGATGTCAATGACCCCTTCAAAGCAAAGTGATGTTCATTACTTGTTAATTATTTTAAATGATTTTAACACATCCACTTTATGTCCATTATTCATGAAATATTTAGTGATCGACCTGACCTTTGCATATAGAACGAAAGTGTGATAAACTTATCATTGTCGTAGTGAGATAGTTATACTATTTCAACACTTGTCACTTACGTTATCTCTCTTTTATTATGAATAATTAACTTAATGTAAAACAAGAAAGTAATTTCTGTTGTTCTAATAGCTTTGTTTGTCAATAATTAATTCATTGTGAACCAGTAGTTTTGTGATATAAACATTCAACTTTCAACCACTAATTCACAAGTTCAAACCCTGTTCTGCCTACTTCAGTTTATGCAACCAGCTAGTATCACTAGTCATAACATTTAAGATATAAGTCGAAACCAAATACACCAATCCCTATCTGCAATATGAATCTATAATAATAATAATAATAATAATAATAATAATAATAATAATAATAATTTTTTTTCTCCTTCTAGTACGTTATCTTATTATCTATCCAATGATTAAACCACTTAGTCCATGTTTAGAAGTTACTTATCAACATCATTGGAAGAAACGTGCATCAGCCGTAGATATTGGTCATCGTGGTATGGGTACATCATTTTTTCAACCAGAAGAAAAACAATATAAAAAGTATGTTTCATTATTATTAATTTATGTCTACTATTCATTCAATAATGAATATTATGTTTATTGTTAGTAATCAATATGTTGGTTTGTACAAGAAGGATTAGGGTGTTAAAATAAACAAACAGATAATTCATTTTCATTTATATGTTTGTTCTCATTTTTTATGGTCGTTGAAACTTTGGTTTCACAATTTTTTCCCCAAGTTACTTGTATGATAGTGATAATCTGATACACTGATTTTATGATTTAGGTTCCCGATGTATGGGATTTTGTTTTTGTGTACGAAACTTCACTCTATATTTTGGACAATTAATTGATATAGGATTCCATGGTGGTCTAACTTCAATTGACTCATGGTCTCAACTATTGAAATCACTATAATATTCAGAAAAAACACGTATGATATTGATCAACATATGCTCACTAGTGACTGAGTTCAAGTGGTATATGCTGGAGTTCTAGTGAGAAGCAATAACCAGTGGAGTCCAACCAGGTCTGTTGTGAGATGGGAACTCACTGAAGACAATGGTGAATGTGTCGGTGAATTTCGTAGATTAGTTGAAGTTAGACATTAACGCCGTTGAATACAGGCTGTCTCAGTGGTCTAATGGTTAAGCGTTCGCGTGCGTGACTGATAGGTCCTGGATTGGAATCTCGCGAGGCTGGATCGTGGATGACAACTGCTGAGGAGTCCCACAATAAGACGAAACGGTTGTACAATGCTTCCAGGTTTTCCATGGTGATCTAGCTTCAATTGACTGATGATCTCAACTATTGAAATTGATATAGGATTAAGAAATGAAATGAAACTAATGGTACCTAATATTACTAACATGAAAATTTCTTATTGTTCTATAAGATACGGATACAAATTTCAGTGTAAATTAATAATCTTTGGTGACTTAAATTAATAATAGGACTCAGTAGCCAAAGGGGATAACGTGATCGTGTTTGAATCGAACGGTACTGGGTTTGAGTCATAGAGTGAACATCAACTCTGAGATGCAGATACATTCAGGTGACGAGTCCCGAATGAGACGAAACACGCGTCCTGGACTCCACTGCTAGCCACTATCCAAACTAACAATACAAATAAAGATGTATTTATAACAGTTTAATGGATAAATATTTATCGATGAATCAGAGTGTTTTCGACTAATTCACTCATTCAAAATTTATTTTATTTGTGATATGATGGGATAAAAGGGTGACAATAAAAGTGGTCAATATTATTTTTTGTATCACTTCAGTAACGATTTTGTTCAGCATGCCAACTGTAAACCATCGTTTAGTGTGACATTATTTCAGGTCAATAGTCTTATATTTATTCTGTATCAATTTCATTCAATGTGATAATTGTGAATTTTCATTCAGTATGATATTTATAGTCCTTGTATCAATTTAGGTGAACTAAATTCAATGTACTTTTGCAGTAACTCGATGTTTATTTTTTCCTATATGAAGTATTATTGGGTAAAAAATCAGTATGAAAGTGAGTATTTCAGTCTAATGATAACTTGTTTTGGAGAGCTACAAGTCTTTCATATTCTCATTTCGAATCATAAGAATTGCTGAAGTTCACGTTTTCCAAGTATAAGTAGTAGTGTAGTGAAGGAAAACACAGATGAGGACAACCGAACTGTATTTAGCACAAAATTACAGAGTTACTTGGTAAAATAGAAAAACCATATAGTAAATCGTTAGTTTACAATATATCAATCCATCATATCAAACCGGACTATTCCTGTTGCAAACATCAATCCATTGTCTTACATTTCATTGTCCAGGCGTTTTCTTACAAATTGCATTGTGTTCCCGCTCTTCTTTTCTTGATCTTCCCCCGTCTTCTGCTGCCAGACACTACGTTTTTAACTCGCGTCATATACTGCTTACATCAATATAAGTAGCACGCACCACAGTAATCTTCAAACATAACAGCAATGACATGAACATAATGTCTGTATGAATTCTAATAAACTAGCGTCGTATTCTACAAAAGGGAAAAGTTATGTCATTATCAAATGATTTAATAATATAACACTCCTGGTCATTCATCTCAAATATTCCGAAATTCTATTCATAATTGAATGGAGTATATTGACGATTTATTCTCTTATAAGTAGTCTTCATAGTTCTACACACTGAATTCTTGTTAACATTTTTGTGTATATTTTACTTCACTAATTTATATTCATACTTTCAATACCTAGTCTTTTCAATCACTACTCATACTTTTACTATCTCTGCTATTCTGGGATTTGACCTGACAATTTCATTTCTTAATACTAATGGGAATTGAACAACTTGAACTGATGTATATACGTACCAGGCTTTATGTTATAGCTGACTGACCGACTATTTCTACACAACATATCATTGTTTTTCGAAGAGTCAATGGGAACAAATAACGAAAAGTTGGTTAGATACAAGAATTGATAAATTTCAGAAGTGGATGTTGTATGTTCCTAAAGGCATATTAGTTCAACATTAATTTTTCTCTGATAATGATAAAACATGGGAAAATTGGAAGAAAAATACATAAAAAAGCGAATAAGATCTAATCTAGTTTTTTTCCACAGAATCATCAACAATACAAATGCCATGTTACTCTATCAAAGTTACTCAATTCTCTTCCATACTTAAAGCGATCCATGGAAGAATAATGAAGAACTAACTTCAACGAATGAAAAGCACGGTTGTTTTCCTCTGAACACAACCAAATACTTATTCAGATCATAGTGCTAATCAAATAAAGTGTGTACAACAGGAAAGAATGATGGAATAGAATCAAAAGTAGCAATTAAGTCTTACAGAGTGCACTAGCCGTACTTACATGATGACCAAGTGCAAAGTACTTTTTACATGCCAAATTTCACTAAAACTACTACGACAAAAACGAATTAGTTAATTGTCAAACCTATATGATACAACACAGAATAATAATCTCAAAAGTATTTACGCATTCCTTCTTCATTTTAGTATATTTGTTAGTACAATCAAATTCTTGCTTGTTATACTGCAATAATTATTTCAAATTATGTCATTGTGGGAATGATTATATTATCAAATCAAAAACATAGGAGGTATTCCCTGAAGTTCTAGTGAAATGCAGTGACAAGTGGAGCTTAACCGGGTCAGTTGTGAGATAGCAACAATGGTGAACGGTGGCACAAATTCGTGGATTGGTTGAATTTAAACTTTAACAGCGTTGGATGTGCCGGCTGGCTCAGTGGTCTAATGGTTAAGCGTTCGCGCGCGAGACCGGTGGACCCTGGATTCGAATCCCGAGGGGCGCGGTATCGTGGATGCGCACTGCTGAGAATTCCTACAATAGGACGAAATGACCGTCCAGTGCTTTCAGGTTTTCCATTGTAGTCTAGCTTCAATTGAGTCATGATATTTAACTATTGGAAAAACATAATTACTTCATTCATTATTTTTAATCGCCTATTTGACAACATAATTTATCAAGCGAAATGTAAGGAGAGAAATATTTTATAACAGAATGTATACACTACAAAAATATTTCATCCCGAATTCTATGTATTGATTTGATAAAACCTATTCAATTTTCGATAGTATTATCTGTTATGACTACATGTTTGGCAATAAATATGTTTCGAATCTTTATAATCCGAAAGTATAGTTTTCATAATGTGAATATCATAAAAACGACAAGACTATAAACACAATAAGACGTAATGATCTTTATTAGATCATCTTTGAAAACCTGGAAGCAGTGGACTCCTGTTACGTCTTAGTACGAGATTACTCAACACTGTGTATCTAAAACCCCACATCCGAGAACTGAATCCAGTACCTTCTGTCTCATGTGTGAACGTTTCATTTTGAACCACTGAACTGGTATCCAACGGTGTTGATATCCAATCTCAATCAGTTCGCAATATTGCATGACCGTCATTCATTGCCTACGGTGGATAAGTGTGTTAAACCAAACATATTTGAACTTCACCGTGTTTGATCCCCAGATGCGGTTCGTGGGTGGTTAGTGTTGAAGAGTCCGACACTAGGAAGAAACTGCTACCCAGTGGTTCCAGGTTTTCTATATTGTCTTCAATAAGGTCAGTTTTTGAAATACACTATTAAAATTATATAGTCTCTACAAAACCTACACCAGTATGATATTATTATAGATCAAATGAATAATTCACATACAATTAAGAATAATGCTGATTTACTTTTTTATGACCAGTGATTGTATCTACTGTAGATTTATTTAGTGTGTTTAATGAAACCTTATCCACAGTTTTATCTCCTTCGTTAGATTAACATGTATCAGTTCTTATTCAGTTGAACAGGAGCAAATAACCAGATATGTCGTTAGTTCCATCAAGTAGCAGTTCAAGTAATTTATCGAGCTGAAATAGCATTTTATTTAGATCATGAGCTGATCAATGTTTGACCACCATTGAAAGCCTGGAAGCACTGGATGGCTGTTTCGTCTTAGTATAGGACTCCTGAACAGTTTACATCTCCACAACCGTATAATGACAATTATCATATGTTCACCAGTAACTAGCTTCGAGATGTATTTCTCGGAATTCTAGTGAGAAGCCGTGTCCAGTGAAACTCAACTGTGTCGGATGTGAGGCAGTTACCCACTGAAGAAACTGAAAGATGTTAGCGCAATATCGTGGATTAGTTGAAGTGAGACATTAACACCATTAGATACCGTCTCAGTAGTCTAGATCTTAAATGTTCTCGTGCGAGACTGAAGGTCCTAGATTTAAGTCCCGCGTGTGGGGTCGTAGATGCGCACTGCTGAATAGTCTTATAAAAGTCACCAATAGTTATTGGTATTTAAACAGTGAAAATAAAGGAATCTTGACTAAAGAATATGAATTTGCTTAGAAGTGTAAAATAAACTCCTGAATGACAAAAATGACCGAATAGAAAAACATTATTACCTACGCTTAACTGACCTGACACAGATAATAATTATTTTTGTGACCCAGTAGTAGTATTACTAGTAGACATTATTC